ATAAGGTAAACAACTTTAGAAGGGAGTTACACATAGGCGCACTGCCAGGTATTCCGTCGGGACCTGGCAAACAGACTGGCTTAACACGATGAAGATCTAAAAGAAGAGAGTTTTCGTTTAAGGTAAGACTGAAGTCCATGGATGACCCGACGAGAAAGTTGCTGACGCACGCGGTCTGCCAGTTGGAGGCGTTGTGGGAGGAGGCCAAGCTGGAGGTGGTGGACAGGGACCTAATCCCACCCATACCAGAGGCGAAGGTACTCTTCCCCATCGGAATCCAAGGGGAGCGGGCGCTGAAGCTGCTGCTGCGTCAGAATCGGGACCGACGAAGGAGAGGACGGTGCCCTGACCGTAGTAGTCAACCCGTCGTATGGAGGTGAGCCCAGTACCCATGACACTCAGGGTGCTTCAGCTCAACCTTCATAAGAGCAAGGTCGCGTCGGCGGAACTCCTCACAGCCATGGAGCAAGGATCCGCCGACATAGCTTTGATCCAGGGGCCATGGACCGCCTCAGGCAATGCCATCGCCGGACTAAGGTCCGCAAATTACAATTTGCTCCATACACCAACGGTAAACAGGAATAGAACCGCCGTACTTGTACGGAAGATCTACACGCTAATCTTATATCTTCTTACAGCACTGATGACCTGACTGTGGTGATGCTAGAGAGCGGAAAATGCGGCTTTTGGTAGCTTCGTACTACATGGCACATGACAGGACGGCCAACCCAGAAGAATCCGCGGAAGATATAGGAAAGTCCCTAGAGACCCTCTCCAAAGAACTGCTAGAAAGAGGACCAGGCCTCCCTGGTAAAATAAGGACATTTCACTCCGACGAAACAAACTCAAAGAATTCTTTAAACTTTTCAACCAGACGAAGATAATTTTATTAATGAGGAATACACAGTCCTACTAAGAGACTAGAAGAAGGAAATACGCAAGGCGCAGAGAAACTCGTGGAAAAACTTCTGCTCCAATATAGAGACTGTCCCAGAAACGGCTAGACATCTAGACCATTGAGAGAGCTCTACACAATAAGGAATATGCAGTCGGAGTGTTCGTGGACATATCCGGGCATTCAACAACGTTAGCACGGGCGCAATAATGGATCGCCTAGAAGAGACCAACACGCCCCCGCTATCAACTCGTGGATAAGATAGCTTCTGAGTTGTCGGCGGTTACCAGCTTACGCGGATGACATAAGCGTCGACCCTCAGCTCGATCATGGAAATAACGCTCAGGGAGATATGTGAGTGGGCGAAAAAGGTAGGACTCAATATGAATGCGGAAACTTGTCCCTACAGGGATTCAAGTTCAATTGGTCGAGACATGACCACTACGTCTACATCTACTACATGATACCACTAACCATACAACATATAGACTGGTCATTTCATACAACGAAAATGGACACAAAAATTTCTTAGCGAGCGGTCCCATGTTAACTGTTTGCTGTTAGCGACAGACCGTCTGTTAGATTTTAGCTTTTAGCGACCGGTCCCATGTTAGCTGTCATCTGTTAGCGTCAGGCCTTTACATGTATGCGTGTTAATGCATTCACGTACACGGGTGCATGTGTGCGATCATTTCATTTCGGCCCAGCAAGAATATTTGCTCTTTTCCTACTTTTCGCGCTAGGTACCCTAACAATATGGGCATATTCGCTATTGGGTTAATAATAAAAATAAGAATGTTATATGTTATAATACATTTCTTAATGTTTCAGCATATATTTCATATTTGTTTACAATTCAAATCAGTGGCAGCAGTGAAATGTGTTGCATATATGTACATATGTATTCGAATGAATAACAATCCATCTACTGAGATACAATTTACAATTTACCTATACTTATTATGTTTACAGTTTGACAGTTCCAGTTTTGCATTCCCAGCTTAACATCTTCTCTACATCTACAGATCGGTTTTTATGGCAGCTATATGATATATGTAGTTGTCCGACTTTCATAAATATTATACCAAAATAATAAAATAATAAAATAATAAAATAGGCCTATATCTCAACAAAGTTATAATTTTTTCTATTAATTCCCCGATCGTTCCTATGGCAACTATGAGATATAGTCGTCCGATTTTCAAAAAATTAAAACCGAAATTCTGAAATAATATAAAATGGCCACATCTCAAAAATGGTGCAAAATTGTTTAAAAACAGCCAAGTTAAAAATTTTTTTTCTAAAAATTTATCGAACATTTGTATGACATTTGAATATGATATAGTCGTCCGATCTGGCCCGTTCCGACATATATAGCAGTGAGTTTATATAGAAGACTATATGCAAAGTTTCATTCAGATAGCTTTAAAACTGAGGGACTAGTTTGCGTAGAAACGGACAGACGGACAGACGGGCGGACGGACAGACGGACATTATCTTGGAAAACACTTACCTGTTATTCCTATACTTATCAGCTATATCCTTCTTCCATGAGACAAAAATTGGCTTTTGTTGCGCTAAAAAAAGAAGAAAGTTACCATTAAAATATAACCATAGGAATGTATGTGCATAAATACGTATGTATTTACATATGTGGTATTACACTTACCCATAGCTTGTGAATTTGTTGGCGAAGTCGAAATTAATTGGTGCGCTGCAAATATAAATAATTTAAAAACAAGTAAAGATGGATATATATGGTGCAGTACTTACACATTGTATGTGTCTTTATCCAGCTTGTAGTATCTGTTTTTATATATGTATTGTCAAAACGACAATTTCTTTCCGCTGAAATAATAAAAACAAGAAATAATAATAATATGTAAGAAACGCATATACATATAATAAAGTACCATACTTACGTTGTTTTATTGGAAAATGTTGTATATAAAAAAATAGCTTATTGTAGCTTCACTTTTGTTCGTTTCGCCTGTTTTCGCAGAATTAACAATTACAGGAATAGCGGGCTTTTCGATAATTTGGTGCTGCCAGACTGGGATTAATCGATAGGGCGGATTAATCGATATGGGATTAATCGATATGCAGGGAAGTATAAATTTCTCAAAATCTGTCGGTCAGATCGACCTAAGATTTTTATAGAAATTTAAGAATAGAATTCCCTTTCTTTTGATATACCGTGCAAATCTACATATCCTCATTTAAGCTAGAAATATTATGTTGAAAGTTAGCGTCGAAAACAAGGTTGGCGCATTCAATTGGTTAGAAACACGGCTCGTGTGACGTCACACGTCTGGTGGTCGGTGGGTTTTTTGCTGGTACATATAAGTATATAAATGAAAAATTGCCGTTTTCTCTTAATCGACTCAACCGATTTTGATGAAACAGCTAAAAAATTGCTCAAAATGCTGATGTCGTTTAATAGGCAGTTATTTAATTTTATTTTAAATTGCTTAAATGGCTAACGTTTTTAAATCTAGTATTTTTTTAACATGGTTCCGTTCCTTGGATCAGCAACTAGTTCTCTGCTCACAGTTCCCAGTTCACAGCTGGTCCCATTTTCATACTTCGCGCCTCTGTTATCAGCCCAATTACACCACCCACTGCTATTCGATTTTCTCAAAATCTGCCGGTTAAAATCCATTGAAATTTTCACCAAATATTCTTTAAGCTTCTCCTAATAAGCCCATATACCGTGCATGTTGGCATATCCTCTTAAACTGGAGTTATAAGACTTTAAAAATTTTCTTCCATATTTTGTATGGAGCCGACCCGAGGTTGGTAAACTGTTATACGATTTTCTCAAAAACTGGCGGTCAAAAGAAAATGAAACTTCCCAGAGTAAAACTACAATAAATATCCTTTATCCTGGCATATCGGGTATTGCTACATATCCTCTGTGAGCCGAGATATAATCAAAATTGCGAAAGCACGATTTTTCAAATGGCTTTTTTTAATAGACACAAAGGTCAAATCCCCTCAAACCCAGTAAAAATCAATAGTAAATTCATTTTTAAGCATTTATAAACTTTATGTTGTTCAAATTAGTGCCTTATTAACGAAATAAATTAAAAATAAAAAATCCCTCAGTGTTCCATTTTCCCACCGTTCCATTTCGACGCTAATTTGACGGACATTTTTTCAATTACAATTTTCTTCATTAAACCCGTATATTGTTATCGGTGCAAATCTAGTATCTAGTATATTTTATGTAGATCTATCGATTTTCGCGGCAATGTAGTAGCTAATGCATTAGAATAATGCGTAAAAGTGCCATATAGTCATATTGCTCGCACTTGTATAAAACGCTAAAGCGCTGTCAAATCTTTAATGAAATCTCTAGTTAGTGCGCTAGTATCATAATAGTATTAGTACCAGCCTAATCAGTAATCATACTCGTTCAGCAGAACCATAGTAGGAAATCCATCTGTGATCAGTGCTTATGTTGTTCTGCAAAACGCAGTCCTACACGATCAGTTTGCTTCAGGTTATTTGATATTTAGATTACTGCCACTGCAATTTGCTTAGTTTGTTGACATATTCGCTTAGCGTTGACACCTAATTAAGACAGAGTTGATGATGGGGCCACCCAAATACAGGAGAGGGTGTTTATGCACCTATTTTTAGTTATTTATTTATTTATTTTTGCAAAATTCATGTAAAGTATATTTTTTATGTAATTAATTCGCGCAATATACAGCGCTTTAGTTCACTTTTAAAATATTATGCAAAATTTGCTTAATTATTTAGTTTACTCTCGCAGAATACTTTCTGTTAAAACGTTTATTGCACGGACGGGATATGTGGGAAATGGATATTATTGCAACAACCAGTGGATTCCACCTATTTAATTTAAAAAATACCATAGATGGTATTTAATAACATATTTCTTTGCTTGCAGTAAATATGAACATCAATATTTAAAGGCAATTTATCTTGTGAATTTTTTGTTTTGTTTCATTTTTTGATAACAAACAGTGAATATTTAATTCTTTGACAATTCAAATGTAGATTAGTTGGTTCGTAAAAGACAACGCATGCAAATATGTATGTACATACTTATATTTACATATTTAAGCAAGTAAGAATGTTTAATTTGTGTTCGAAACTTGAAATCAAATGCGTTGAATAGGTTTTATTTACACATTTTCTTAAATCGAGACACATTGAATTTGGATTTGTTTTTAAGCAAAGTTTTTACATACATATTTCGGTATAACAATAATGTACGTTTATAAATGTACATAGATATGTAAATATGTATGCCTATTTAGACTTCAACGATGTAAAAATTACATACATACTTCAACAGATCATAAAAGCGCTTAAGAAATAAATTTAAATAAAAACCAAGCCTGAATATCTGTATATATATATAAGTGTGCGTATGAAATGTATAGTACAACTTGGAAATAATAAAATTACCTAAAAAGTATGGCATACGAACGGTTTGGTATAGTTGTTCAAAATGAACAATACGGCGATGATTTACAAATCCAACCAGAAGGCATACAAAAATTAAATATTGAAAACATAAATCATGGCAAGTATTTTTCCTACTGTGTACGTACAAATCTAAATAAACCTTTTTATATATGAGAATACGTACATTTATACACATGTACGTGTGTATTTAAACGCATGTACATACGGTATCTTAAATTTGCAGTTTCCGTACAAATGTACACTAAATACATACATACATATGTATGTACATGCCTATAAAAATATTTATTGTAAAAAAAAACTAAAAATATTTTAATAAAATGAAAATTTCTAGTTATTCAGAATGAAGTACTTAACACTAATCAACATGAAAAAATGCATTTGAGGCCGTCAGCAGAAAATGAGTTCATGACTAAAATGTATGTTGCGTTTTTATATAAAATTTAAATGTTTAAATAATATAGAAATACATTTTAATTACTTTTAAACTATTTTTTTCTAGAAAAAAAAACTTAAATATTGTTCATCAAATGGATATCAATAATAGTATTAAAAATATGGCTTATGTCGAGGAATATGATGAAATATCCAACACAATGTTTAATAATAGTGACATAGCAAGCAATAACAGACTCACATGCGAAGATTCTACGACAAGCGAAATTAATACCTCGGGAAAATCAAGAAGGTGGGAACAGAAGCTGGTTCAAATTAAAACAATGGAGGGAGAGTTTAGTGTAACAATGTGGGCTTCGGGTATATCCGACGATGATGAATACTCAGGATCAGACCAAAACATTGCTGAAACAGAAATGTTAACAAAAGGAAAGGACAACAAAGATGAGGAGTCCTTCTTACACCAAGGGGTGTTCTTGCGTGAAGCACAAGAAATTCATCCACAGATGATTGCAGATGTTAAAATTCTGACTGCAAAGAATATACTCAATACTTCTCCAAGCTTGGTGGAAAGCACAGTCTTACAGGGTACTGATTCCTCCTCCTCGAGCAATCTTCAGTTAATTAATGAAACCGCCGCATTAACAATTAATAATAATCAAAGAATTTTAAAAAGTGATAATAACTGTCAGCCAATTTCAACATCGACTTTACCTAGTACTTCGGTGCCAATTCTTGGTGTTAGTTTACAAGGAAGGCTACAGCCTAATAGCTTATCTACATACAACGACAGCCTAGGTAATTTTCTTACTACTACTTTGATTCTTTCACTTAAATTAAATTCATATAATAATAAAATACATGCAGGAACACCTTCTGGATCTGATCTTAGTTTCAATTATTCCGATGGGAGCATAGCAACATATCAAAATGATAAAAAGATTGCCTGTCCACATAAAGGCTGCCATAAAAATTTCAGAGATTCATCGGCAATGCGCAAGCATTTGCACACACACGGTCCCCGTGTGCATGTTTGTGCAGAGTGCGGAAAAGCCTTTGTGGAAAGCTCAAAACTAAAACGTCATCAATTGGTTCACACAGGAGAAAAGCCTTTTCAATGCACTTTCGAGGGATGCGGAAAACGTTTTTCCCTTGATTTTAACTTAAGGTAAAATTAACCCATGTACCCTATTGCAACCGTATATTAATACTTTAATAAAATAAGCTTGAAGTTGAAATTAATCATATTGAACTATTTTCAGAACCCATGTAAGAATTCATACTGGCGACAGACCTTTCGTTTGTCCCTTTGATGCCTGCAATAAAAAGTTCGCTCAATCCACAAATTTAAAATCTCACATATTAACTCATGCTAAAGCTAAGTAAGATAATAATATGTTTATTTGACATTTTATTAATACATTTTTATATTTAAGGAGGAATACTATCAGCGTAACGCATAAAAGCAGCAGTGAAGAGAACCCTACAAATTACATTAAGTCAGAAGTACTAGATAGTATATCATTATCGAAAAATAATGTACCATTTGTAGTTTATGCAGACTGAAATGTGTATTGTATACCACTCCTTTTCCAGTTTTTGAAATATTTTATTTAAAGGTATGATTGACATTTTAAGTAAAACAGCAGGAAATCATCAGGATAGGTTTATATATATATAAAACTGGAAAATGGGAGCTTGGTACATTATTTGGAAATTAAAAATAAATTAATTATGTAATGTATAATAATTACTTTGTATTAAAATTGTACACCTTTAAAGAAGAAAGAACATCGATTCTTTGTTGGGATAATTTTTTTAAAGTTAAAAAAATATTTGTAATTTATATCCTTTTTGTGGATATAATAATTTGTATTATTTTGGGCGCCATAACTGTCAGTTCGTTTTTACGAAAACTATCAATACATGAATATTAAAGTGTGTAAATGAACACCATGTGGACGATGAATTCGGCCTTAGTACTGGAAATATTTTCTGATTTTTTGAGTAAAAACAATTGCATTTTAAAAATAACACTTAAACTTAAGTATTTTCTAGACTAACGTGTATATTTATCTAAACATTTTTTTGCGAATAAAAATGCAGATTATAATTTTAAAAGCGTACAATTTGTATCTCTTATTTGGTAAAAGCTTGTGTAGATGGTTCTGGTAAAGCTCTTACATATTTAAAAAAAGAGCATTGATGTTGTTTTAAAATTAGGCAACACTGAAAAACGTATTGCGTGTACATACAATACATAAAATCAGTCTCTTTTCTTACCTCTTCGAAGATCGATTGATATTTAACAAAATTTATTAGTGTGCGTGATACCTTGGCAAAAATTGGGTTAAGACTAAAATATATTTTTTATATTCATATAAATAGGCTCAATATGAATAATAATTAAACCTGCGTTGTTTTTATTTAAATATATGTATACATAAATGACAAGATAATATATTTTGTAGGAGTGCTAATAATAAATATAAATTCTTTTTTGGCTGCAAGTTGCAACACAGGAATTCAGATCAGTGTGTATGCATAAATATGTATGTATGTATGTACACAGGTATATGTATGTACATGTATGTATGTATACACTTGAAATAACATGCCAATGCATGATTCAGGTGAATAGCTTTTTCCTAATTATGTAAAACAACCCAAATAGGAGGTATCATAAATAAATTTTATTTTTTTTAATGCTTTAATACAATTACAATATTTTAGATACAGATGCAGATACAAATGTATGTATGTTTGTATATGTATGCGAAGATGAAATGGCGTACTCGTATGTATACGTACATATGCACCATATACATATGTACATAGGTACATACATACATAAATACATTTAATAAAATACATATACATTTATTTAAACTGATTTTATGTATGTACATATATATACAAGATTTAATAGGACACTAAACTCTTCTTAAAAATACATATGTACATATGTATGTAGTATACATTTCTTTGGCAAGCGTAATATTGATTATTTTAGTAACTACATAAATAAATTTGAACAAACCAAAGAAGACCATGGATTCAACCAAAGGGAAGAAAATCAAAAGTAAAAAAATAAGATCAACTGAAAATCATGACAAACAGAATATAAATATGGTAAGCTAAATTCTATTACTTTATTAAAAACACCTAATCACGTCATGGTATAATTTTTAGAAAAAGAGCTTCAGTAAATTTGATGATCTGCAGAGGCGGAGCTTGTTACACGTACGTGCAAGAGATTCTAATAAGCTAAGCAACTAAAGAATAATTTACATTCGAAGAAATTACTAAAAATAAAAAACAAAAATATATATATCAAAGAATTTATTTAATTATTTGATGTTTTTTTTACTTAAACTTTTATTAGACTTCAATAGCTGAGCAGCACCTAGACAACTGTAATCAATGTCAAAAATCGGTATACAAAATGGAGGAAGTTATTCTTCAGTTAAAAACAGGAACAAAGATATTTCATAAAACTTGTTTACGTTGCAAAGAGTGCTCTAAACAATTAAAGTGAGTAGATAATATAATGTACAATAATAATAATACTATTATATTTTGTGATGTGGTTTCTCGTACAGACTAGAAAACTTTCATGCTCACGATGGCTACCTTTATTGTCATATGCATTTTAAATTAATATTTGCACCAAAAATAGTTTATGAGGAGATAAAACCACGAAAGCCAGAACTTATAATACGTGAGAATCAGCCAATGGAATTGCCACCAGATGTCGCCAGAGGTAAAATTGACAATAGGACAAAATCGTCGGCAAAACGGATATATTTTAAATATAAATCTCTTAGACCCTTATTGCAAAGTAAGTTCCTTTTCCGTTTTTAAATTAATAATAATATATTACAGCATCCGATAAACCAAATCTGGGACTTGATGAACTCCAACAACTTAATGTGCGATCTAGATTTGAAATGTTTGAAACTGGCGCTTCTTCCCAAAATAATAATCATTCTCAAGATAATCGCCAAGAAACCCCCATTACCCATGGCAAATCGATTCGATCAACGCTAAGCAAACTTCAAAAGCTTGGGATTTCCAATTTAAAATCTGAACAAATAGAGGAAATTAATGAAATCAAAGTATTAATAAAAGATGATAACTCGAATGACGATGATAGTGATGATTGCTCTCGAATGATATTAACTGAAAAAGAAAGACCTTTGGGGTTAGGAGAAGCAATAAACGATATAAAAACTAAGTTTGAGAACGGTGAAATGGTAACGAAAGAAGAGAGACGGGAAGAACGAAAACAGGAGATACAAGAAATACGCTCTCGTTTATTTATGGGCAAACAGGCGAAAATCAAAGAAATGTATCAACAAGCAGTTGCTGAATCCGAACAGGGCCTTACCTCAGTTGGCAAAACTCCAGAAATTAAACTGACTACAGCACCGCAATCTATCAAAGATCGTTTTGAAAATGGTGAAGCTTTTAGGAATAGTATAAAACTGCAATTAAAAGAAGTCATTGAAGATGCAGAAGTATTTGAGTCTGGTAAGAATTCTAATTTATATTATTAAATATAGTGCTTAACCGTACATAACATTAATTATTCTTTTAGCTATAAGCAAAGACTCACGTAATATCTTTATGCAAATGGACGCAAATAGTGCTTCGAATCTAGTCAGTTCCAGAAGCAGCATTTCAAATAATCCACCAGTAAAATTAATTCAAAGCAATAAAAAGGTAAGAAATAATACTTAGTTTCGAATAATAATTTATTAATTCATTATTTATTAATTTATAAAACAAACAGAATATCGATATGGATAGGAATATCATAAAATCGGACGCCAAACCCGAATATTTGACAGTTGCCACCGAAGAGTTAACTGAAAGGTTTAAATTTTTTGAACAATTTCGTCCAGTTGAAAATAAAAAGCACATTTTTCGTATAACACCGCCACGAGAAGGAGTGGTTAGAATTGATACCGATACTGATACGGATATTCTGTCATCTACAAAAAAAACTTCCATTGCTGAGGATATTTTGATGAAAACCAAAACGACATCAACAATTTTAAACAAATTTCGTGAAATGGAAAATTTTAAGATTTTAGAAAAAAATGACAAAATTAAACAAGCGAAACCTATGAAGTGCTTTACTCCGCCGCCCGAAGCAGAGAATTTTACTAATAATAAGTCCGACTCCGAAGATGAGGATATCTTTAGCGAAGATGAAGAGACAAATACTAATGAAGATAGTGATGACGACAAAGGAAGTGAAAGTGAAAATGTGAGAAAATCATGTAACCAGGATCAGGCGCTTCAAGAGGTAACAGTTTATTTAAAAATAATTTAGAATTTGGTTAAAATAATACCTATAAATAAATTAAATTAAACCTTTTTCAATCAACAGGCAAAGAACGCAGCTCGTGCAAAGCAATTGCGTGCAAAATTTGAAAAATGGCAAGACAATGAAATTCAACGAGAATTAAAAGAAGATCGTGAAGATGTTTACTCCCAACTAATTTCTAGTGATTCTATAGAAAGTGCCAAAATGTAAGACATTAAAGAAAATTATTAAATAAACATGTTGACACATTTTTATTTATAGAATACGAGAACGCTTCGAAAATATGAAGATAAACGGGGAAATGAAAAAAAGTGTTCCCAGACCTCAAATCAATCGTTTTGTTGTATGTTCGTTATAAAATATTAATTTTATTTTATAATAATTTATATATTTTTCAGTAATCTCGATAAATAAAAAGAACTGAAAAGTGCTTTATATTATCCCAAATCCTGGACAAGAAAGACCCGTTCCTCCCAGAAGTTTACAAAATTATAGTAATCACACATTTTACATGTTTAATCTGAAAATAAATAACGTATTTATTAAAAATTTAATTTTATCTTTTAAATTATTTCGAGCCCAATTCAGATGGTAACATAATGTTGATACTGTCGTGATAATACAGAAATGAATATTTGCAAAATAAAAAAATTAATATTTCATTTAGGATTACGAAATAATATTGTAATAACTTATATTTTATATGTTGTAGTATATAATAACATTTTCTGACATTTTTAATGTGGCAAATATAATATAATTATATACAATATAATAAATATTTTATTCTATAGCTTTATCCATGAATTCCAAGAATCGTTTGGCATATTGTTCAGGGTCGCATGTCGATATACCATCAACATTACTCCCATACTTAACAGTTTTGGCTGCTTTTGCTGCCTGCAAATGAGAGTTATGATTTAAAAAGTCAATAAAATATATTTTGGGTGAAATATACCTGCTTCTTGACGCCGTATTGCGTTAATACATCTATAATGGCTATAAAGTATATTTCGCGTTTTTCTGCAAAGTAAGAAGAAAATAAATATATGGGAAAGGAACTCATTTAAAGTCTTTCTCTCACCTTCAATGCTCGGAATGTCATATATGTCAACTTCGTAAATGACTTCTTTATACTGTGCACCTCTTGGTGAATCAGGCGGTGTATTGTACGTCCAGCTTAAAAAGCATTATATTACAAATAAAAAAAATAAAACATTAGCTTACTTACCGTTCACCACTATCGCACTCCTCACTTTCGCTGTTCTCACTCCGACCAGCTGCTGCCACATTGTCGCCTTGAAGAGCTTCTTCCTCGGCACGCACACTATCGTGTACGCCGACTAATAATGAATAGTCCATAATGTGCAACTTGATAAGTAACTATATAGAAACAAAGAGAATATATTTTTACTGCATTTCGAAAAACAAAATAAAGAAACATATTCAAGAACATTGTGTGGTGGCATTATAGAGCTGTATACTCACGTCCACATCGTTATTCAACGTATCCATCAACTTCTCTTTTGCTTCCTTTCCGATATCTAATTTAACTTTTTGTTTGATAAAATCATTATCCTTTAAAGTCGGCAAATGCTTCTCAAGCTCCTTTTCTGATGCCTCCCGATCCACGGTACTACCTTTCAAATCAAACTTTCTATAAAATAAATGTTTTATTTGCTATACAAAATATATCGTAACGTAAACGTTCAAAAATATTTCCCTTACTTGTGAATTGTTAAGTGGGAGCTGAAAACATTCCTCATGACCGCAAAATAATATTGGACGCTCTCCACAGTTATCCGGTACATGCCTAAATATTGCGGTAATAGGGTTTTGCCATGTCGTTCAACAACGTACTAAATATTGAAAATCAAATAAATTATTTGTATAATTAATTAAAAATATGTAAAACTCACAGGATGATACTGCTTCAAAAATGCGTGCATACGCTCTATTTCTTCCGACGTTAAACTTTTGATTATAAAAAACTTATCATAACTCTGATAGAATTGTGCACCTGACTTTCCAGAAGAGTCAATTTGTATCGGTTGTGATCGAGTTAAGGACTCGCGATAGTCAACGTCATCGACCCCAAATCTTTCACGCAAATTCCGAAATACAAGGGGACAATATTCTTTGACTTTAAAATGCGATGGCATATTTTCCCTTAAATAAACAATATATAATTTTAATCTTTTAAGTTAGCTTTTAGTGATAACTACATAACTGTTTGAAACTGCTTTATATAAGAAAAATTAATTACTTCGAATTTATTTTCTTACTTGTTAAATAGATGATTATCCACCTTAATTTTCGAATAAGCCCGAAAGTCATCTGGCAGCAGCATTACGGGAATATTTACATGACTTAGTTCATTGATCTGCGTAAATTTTTTAATGTTGTTTTATTAGACTGTTGTAAAATTGTTTAGGTATATATATATTAACGTACAGTGTGATTAATTCCCCACATAAATACACTCAAAATCGGTTCATTGGCACGAAAAAGTTTTACTTTTTGATGCTTCACTCGAAAATGTTTCTTTTTCAAAATTCGTGGCTGCGATATCGATGAGATCTTTTTATCCATGTTTTCTTGCAAAATAAGAAATGTATAATTAATTATAAACGAGTGAAAAAAAAATCAAGACGTTACCATACATATTTATGTATGCAATTTATATATGTACATATGTAGATACAGTCTACATGTTCTAGATACATATGTACATACATATACATATGTATGTACGCAAAAGTGCACTTTGTTTTTATATTTACAAATTTTTCCTGAGGGGGCTGTTCTAAGTTATTACGTATAAACTGAAATGAATTTAGAAAGTTAATGCACAATTACGTTCTTAACCATAATGTATACACAGGACAAGATATAAAAATATGTTTTTTACCTATAACGTATCACTTGCTTTTAAAGAAAAATATTCTAGTTTACATAAATTTTTATCATCTAATACAATCGATATGTCGAACATTTTAAAACTATCGATAGCGTGCATACTTTAAGTATAAAATATCACATTCCCATCATCAATAGTTTATTTTCTCAGAGAGTCACCAAATATGAACCGTGTGTTTTATTCTAATGTAAAGACATATGGAAATACATACATTTACATATACATGATTATTAAAATGTTTCAAATTAATTTTTTTTATTTTTACTAATTTTTATTCATTTGATGATTAAAAAAATGTATTATCTTACTTTTTTTTTGTATTATTTATTTTGCATATTCTAAAAAGACAAAACTACTTAAACAATTAATTTAAAAAGTAAAGAGGTTATTTCCTAAACACACATTTTAAATGAAATAAATTTTAATCAAAAATACAAATAGACTATTTATTATAAATAAATAAAATAAGGTATAACGACAGTATACAAATGTACATACATATGTGGACGTACATGTCCTCTTCACATACTGACATATTTTCCTCCGCAATTCGTGCTATCACGATCACTTACTGTCATTTCTTTTCTCACCGCTATTAAAAGCTCTCCCTTTCGTGTTATGAAATTTTGTAAAATATATCTTTTAGTTTGACTGGCTTATGTGCTTGTATTGAAAAATTTATAAATAATTTCAGAATAAATCTAAGTTTAATTGAGAAATTAATACATACATACATGTGTGTTTGTAGTATAGTTTGCCTACTGCAAATATAATGACGGAATCGGGAATCGATCTGGGCTTTGATATCGAGTTCGATTTAAATATAAGTCTGCTAAATGATAACGAAACTATGGATTTTTTACCAAATGTCACTGTAGCGGGCAGTTCTGATATGGAATTTTATGAGCTAAAATCATCTACTCGGTCTTTACGATCCGATGAAATGTAAGTACATACACATATACATATACATACATATGTACCTCCATTTCTGCGAAACTGATATTAACATTAAGTGTACATATGTATGTATGTACATTTAGGGTATATTTTAATGAACAGAAATACATATATGTATGTACATATGTACATACATATACAGACATTGAGCTGTAAGTAATAAGAGTATATATGTATGTATGTATGTACATGTGCGTGCTAGCATCATTATTTGATGTATGATTAGCGCAATCTTATCAAGCGAATGTGCATATGTATGTATGTACATATGTACATATGTATGTAAGTATTGTAAGTGAACAACAACTGAGATTTGGACATCTACATATAGGCATACACAATTCACACGCATACATACATGCATTCTTATGAAATGAATTTATTGAATATTTGAAATATTGATTATGTACATATGTAGCTACATACATACATATATATATGTACATACATACATAGATATGTACATACATACATAGATATGTACATACATACATTTGGCCTATAATAAATTCTATTATTTTTTTCCAAATAATAGAAATACAATCGCTAAATAACTTAAACATACATATATGTACATACATATGTATATATTGTTATTTTTGATATTAAGGCACACCCTGTTTTATTTGAATATTATATGAATATAAATACATACGTAGATATGTACATATGTATATATGTATACATTCTAAAGTTGCTGCAAAATGAATTCTGGTGTGCTTGTGGTATCACCAATACATTCAATTTCATTCTAAATGTACATATGTACATACCTATGTACTTGTACATACATATATAATATAATAAATGGGTAAAGCTGTATAAGGTGGTTTCTCAAAAGGCTCTATTTCTCTCGCTTAAAAAAATTACCCTTAAGTCACTGGACAATTTGGTTTAATTTAAAATAAATGCTTGTAATGTCCATTTAGGAAAATGTTACTTATTTATAGCATTATACACTTGGCCCTCGCTTAACACGAACTCTTTTAGCACGAACTCGGTCTTACACGGTTTTAAATTTGTTCCCATCCCCCTTTTAACACGCTAAAAACCTCGTTCTTAAACGATTGCAAAATATCGAAACAATCAAAAATTACTGATTTTTACAAGGAGCCACCAAAAAAGAAACCATGTTAAAACAAACTGGCTTTAACTATAAATGCCACCAAATGCATTTCATATTATGAATTATGAATTTTTAGTTATCAACTATGAATTAAAATTATGAATTAAAATTATGAATTAAAATTATGAATTATGAATTAAAATTATGAACTATGAATTCAAATTATGAATTATGATATGAATAAAACATATGATCTCCTTACTTTTTAACATTTTTTAGTTTCTATAAAGTTTAACCTATTAATTAATTATAAGAAGCAACTTTTTTAATTAAATACCAACTTTTAAGTTTGAAAATATGAATGGTATGCTTTTATTAAAGGCATATACATAATAACTTTTGGTTAATTTTGAACAAATGTATGCAACTTTAATAAAAACATACCAAATTTGAACAATAAAAAATTTTTTTTGCTGTCAATTTTGAATTTTTAGAACGTAACCCCTTATTTTGTACTGAATCCATGTTTCGCTTAACACGATTTCGCTTAACACGAGGTTTTCTAGGAACGTAACCCCCGTGTTAAGCGAGGGCCAGGTGTATTTTATATTACCTTTTGGGAGAGAATTTAGAATAGGGAAACCTTAAAAATTCATCGCATAATATGCTTTTTATTTTTGGGGAAAGCATGTTTAGTCAAACCAAACAGTATCTTTTCACATTCGCTCGCCATATAAAACATCAAGGTCTTTTGTAATATTTGAAATAGTGTTTTAGCGATATATTGCTTAATAGAAAACATGTTTTCATACTGGAGTAAAAAGAGTATGGCAAAAAAAACGGAGCAACATCCAGAAATGAAACCATCAACAGAAGAAAAATTGTATTGCGAAAATATAACTACAGATACAGCTTCAGAACGTATCCTAGAATTTCAGGACTTTTTAAGGCGCGTGCAGACATTACAGATGTCACAAAATGAACAGCACGATGAAGAAAGTAATCAGAATTCGATGGCAATTGAAGTTGGCGAGGAACCTTCAACCACAATTTGTTCTGAAAACGATAAAATGAACATTAGATCCTTATATCCTTATTCAATGCCCCTGTCATCGCAGATTTTCTGTGAATCTACCAAAAATATTCGTGTCACAGTTGGCATTGACAAAGACTTAGAAATGATTCTAGAAATGGATCCAAGTATTGTTGATTTTGATGACACTCAAGTTATAGAACCGCGTATAGTGGGTCTTCCTCCACTTTCGGGTGGGTAGGTACATTTACAATATTGCAGTCTATTCTACATACATTTTAATTAGTTAACAACAGTTGCATCCATTTCTTATCTATAATATTTCCTTCACAGACCCACATTTAAAACAGCCACACCCACATCCCGAACTCAACTGAAACTTCAGTTACAACGAGAACAACATCAGCAGCAACAACAACAGCAACAGATGACAATGCAACAAATAATACTTGACTCAGATTCAAAAATGCATTTGATGTTGGGATCAACTGAAACGGAATTTATAGATAGCTGCAGCACTAGCGCCTGTGGCAGTGGATCATCGAGTTTAGAACAGATGTCACAATTAGTGCAAAATGATCGCTCAAGTCCTGTTAAATTGAAGGTTCCTCTTCAAAGTATTGGGGTAGATGTACCACCGCAAGTGCTGCAGGTATGATAATTGATAATAAATGCCTTTATGATATAAACCTTTTTATCCTGATACAAAGGTCAGTACAGTGCTAGAAAATCCCACAAGATATCATGTCATACAAAAGCAGAAGAACCAAGTGCGACAATATCTGAGTGAATCTTTTAAACCTTCTATTTGGGGCTGCAATAACAGTGACGTAAGTGACGTGTATAATTATTTATATAATTATTAATACCATATATGTTTATTATATATATTACTATAATATTAATAGATGAAAATGGCCAATAACTCAGCATCTGCTGGCAATCTACAGCAGCCTTCCTCCTTAGAATGTGATATAGCTATGAATGTTAAACATAGTTCAAATGGACATTCCGCCGACGATTCAATGCAAATTTCACCATTTGGTTGCAATTATTTACGAAGTGATAAATGTAATCCCAATGAACAAAATTGTTCATTGGGAAGTATTAATAATAACACCACCGGAGAATCATCCCCAGCAATTGTTAGTAAAACTAATCAGATGGGGCTGGTTAAGGCTAATTCAAGCATAGCCTCTTCTACAAATGCGGTACGTCTCTCATCCGGAATAATTAATTCTATAAGAAGTACCGGAAGTTCGTTGCAATCCACATCGGCACCCATATCGCCCAGCTTAAGCTCGGTGGCTACTAGTGCATCAGAAGTGAGTTAGTGATTTTATTACACTCTCTAAGAGTATCATAATTCCATGTTTTCTTGTCAATTATAATATAATTATTTGATTTGTACTTTTACAGCTTCCTTCGTTCGACAGCGATGTAAGTATTATTAATAATGATTACGAAACCATGTCACTACGTTTGGTTTTTTTGTGAAGTTGTGCATCTTGTATTTTCAATTTAACAGTAATTATATATAAAATATATATATAATATTTTTTCGGTTTAGCCAGATGATCTCTTCGATGATATTTTGCAAAATGATTCCTTTAACTTTGATCAAAACTTCAACTCGGAATTATCAATTAAACAAGAGCCACAAAGTTTAACGGACGCAGAAATAAATGCAATGCAGAAGGATCGACAAAAGAAGGATAATCATAACATGAGTACATATACCAAGATATATTACACATACATTATAAGAAGCCTACATAAAGTATTCCTAATAAATATTTGCAACCCTATTTAGTTGAACGAAGGCGACGCTTCAATATTAATGACCGAATCAAGGAGCTCGGCACCCTTTTGCCCAAGGGGAGTGAGGCTTTTTATGAAGTGGTTCGCGATATTCGGCCCAATAAGGGGACCATTTTAAAGTCCTCCGTTGATTACATTAAATGTTTGAAACATGAGGTAGCTCGCTTAAGGCAAAATGAGTGCCGTCAGCGGCAAGTGGAACTTCAGAATCGGAAACTTATGACACGAATAAGGGTAAAATGTATTAATATATCTAAAACAATATTATTACTACTCATTTCATTAAAGGATCTGGAAATGCAGGCCAAGTCTATTTCCGATTATCAATTCAAATCCGTATCAGTATCAGCGCCTACGCAAGCCAATGTATATCTCAAAAGCTCCGGCTTGTCGCCAAATGTCTCACAAAGTCGTCGTTCGCTTGTGGAAAATCAAGTGGGTCCTAAAATTATTCCAGTTGTAGTTTCTGCTAATGTATAATTTATGTATATATTTGATATTTATTTTAAAAGCGGATGGAGATCAATACTAACGACGTGAATTCGGGGATGAATCAGATTGACGAACTAATGGAGGATTGTAAGCATCCGGTGCAAGGCGGTGACCCAATGCTGTCATCACATAGTCACATGCTGTCATCGATGTTACCTTCGCATAATTTTAAACCAAAGAGCGGTGTTTCGGAGGCGAATGTTTTATTTAAAGCCCACAGCAGCAAGGGAAATATGGTAGATGACTGTACATCGTGCTATAACAGCCTGAATCATCATAAATACGAGAGTTGTCAACACAAATTAAAGGATTCTGTTAAGAATTCTGAATTTGGAAGTGTACATAATCATGAGTCCCTGCTATTATCATCATCTTCCCAACAGCAGCTTTGTGAGCAGAGTTCCACCGATTTGTCTGGAGGTTTGATGACTGATGATCTTTCATCTTTAGTAGATGATAGCCATAGCGAGCCAATGCTTCTTACGCCTGAAACGTTAGAAATTGACTTATAAATATACCTGTACTTCGTTTACCGGTATCCAAAGGATACAAGGGTATTATAGCTTAGGGCCAACCAAGAATGCAAGTAATAAACAGAGGGAATCATCACCGACCCCATAATGTTTAATTATTCTTGAATAGCACCACCAGCCGAGTCAACTTAGTCATGTCCGTCTGACCGTCGTGAAAATGACCAATTCTCAGAGTGGCAGACAACTTTTGTTTTAAAATTAGTCCGTGCCCATTTCTTCCCTAACAAATTATAAAAAACAATAACTATGAAATAGTGAAATTTGTTTAAAGTAAACATTTTTATAAAATAATTCGACGGGTCGTATTTAAAAAAACTAGTAAAATCTATAAACAATGTTTTTTCTGCTTCATGCAACATCTACATATTTATTGAAATTACCTATGCGTGTACATACCAACATTTGTCTTTATTTAGGTGTTGTGCAATATGTTCCTTTAGATTTTTACCTACTTGTTTATTTTGAAAGTACACAAGATATAATCGTGTGATTTATAAATTGAAATGAAAAAAAATTTACAGATTATCACAGATAATAACAACATCCAAACCAATGTTTGTTATACCCTTGCAGGGTATTATAATTTCAGTCAGAAATTTGCAACGCAGTGAAGGAGACCTTTTCGACCCTATAAAGTATATATACTATTGATCAGCATCAACAGCCGAGTCGATCTAGCCATGTCCGTTTGTCCATCTGTCCGTCTGTCCGTTTCTACGCAAACTAGTCCCTCAGTTTTAAAGCTATCCGAATGAAACTGCATATTGTCATCTATATACTCTCACTGCTATATATGTTGGAACGGGCCGGATCGGACGACTATATCATATAGCTCCCATACAAATGTTCGATAAATTTTTAGAAAAAAAAATTATAAGTTCTCTGTTTTCAAAATGTTTGCCAATTTATATTATTACAGATTTTTGGTTTTAATTTTATGCAAATCGAACAACTATATCATATAGCTGCCATACAAGCGATTGGTAAATGTTGAGAAAATGTGAAGCTTGGAATGTAAAACTGTAACTGTCAAACTGTAAACATAATAAGTATAGGTAAAATGTTATGTAACTGTTTTAGTGTGTTTTCAGCATTTTATATATGCTATGTATAAGATTTTATATATTTTCTTTTTAATTATTTAACCATATTGGCCCGATTCTTAATGATCCAATTGCAATCTGCAAGGGTATTCCAACTTCGGCGTGCCGAAGTTAGCTTCCTTTCTTGTTTAATAGATTATGTAAATGCCAAAGGCAAATAACATAATCTGTTTGGAAACAAAAAAGCAAATCAAAACTAATTAACCAATTTTTGTAAATTAACCTACGTTAATATGTTAAGTAAACCGTTATGAAGGCAGGTCGAAATCTTTTGTTAATAATATTTGACTTTAATTTAAAATTGAAAAATTTTAAAACTTTTGAGTTAGAGAAAATAAGAGTGTAAAACATTAAAATAAATGAAATGTATAGTTTTTTGTTATTCTACATTGTTATTAGTTATTTATAAAAATAAAAATACATTTAAGAAATCCCACCTTAACAGTTAAAGGGAGATATGCCTTAAGGAAGCCTATAAATATAGCTAAACTGTAGGACAAAGTTTACGAAGCAAATACACACTGCCCGACAGAATATATCATATAGTCAGGGCCGCCCAAAAGCTTTTGAAAGAGCATATCACCAATAGTATAAATACATAACGATAACGCAAATATAACCAGTGTCTTTATCATCATTGTTTAAAAAAATATAAATAAAGAATATTTGTTTTCCAATCCATATTTGCACCATTTGCCTTTTTATTTCTGATTTAAGGGGGGACATCTGAGTAACTTTTTTTAAAAATAGAAAAAATTTTTTTTGCTTAAAAAATTCAATTGCCTTCGACCTTCATCGAGTGCAGACGTGCTTACGGACGACCGCCACGCGGGGTTTATTCTCGAAGTGTTTTTTCATGGTGAAAAAGTAAATTCGGAACTCTAAACTACGTACTGTCAGCTAGGCCAAGCCCTACAGTGCGTATGACATACGGACACTAGTGCGTGAGACGTGTTTTTGAGCTGCAAAGTTCATTTATATGGTGCCACGCGTAACAAGCTCAAAATAATGAGCGGCGATCAAAAGAATGAGCGTAGAACCTCTGTAAACCAAAGAAACGGTGTTTTCACTTACAGCTGTGTTCACTGAAATAGCAGTGCGACAGAGGAACAACTTCAAAACGTTTTTTTGTACATATTCCTTTTTGCAAGCTGATCTATTGCACATTGTTTTTGTAAAATGGAACATAAAGATAAGAATCGAGAAAAAATTCCGTTAGATTTGCTCTATTTTTATGTTTTATTGATATTTTTTCACATATGCAGCTCGTTTTAGCCGATCACTGAAATAGCAGTTTTTAATTTTCTTTCGCAAAAAGTGACGAAATTTCTTTTAATTTTGTAAAAAATGAGTTTAATTACGGTCGTTATTATAGTTTATACTATAATACACCTTTACAACGCGAAAAAAATTGTTTTAGTGGGCGCAGGACCTCACTGCTCCATGAGAGAAATGTATCAGATAACTTAGTCTAGAAAGAAGGGCAGAACATGTAAAGAGTCTCCAAATCTTACAAATTGTTCTTTTAAAATAGTTTATAAGTCATGAAATATGAACCGAACCCAAAAAAACCGAGGTACGATTCGCAAAACCACAATTGTACAGGCTCGACGCGTACTTCGCTTCAGCAAAGCTCGTCCTTTTACATCCTCTAGGGATATACGAGCGGGAATTGGCATAGGAATCAGTCATGGGACCATTCGCCGGGGACTTATTGAATAAATTTTAGATTCGCGAAGTCCATGGAAAATGTCACTGCTTGGTTAAAGGCATATCAAGGCCAGATTGGAGTTCGCCAATAGCCACTTGAACTGCCACTATTCAAATGGCGTAATATCCTTTGGACAAATGACTCCAAACTGGTTTTATTTGGTGGAATAGGACAAGACAATATGTCCGTCGACCTCCAAATATATAGTATCCTCCAAACCATACGCTGAAGACAGTAATGCACGGTGGCCTAAAAATCATGGTATGGGTATACTTTTCATACAACGTTGTAGGTCCCGTATATATGATCTGTGGGATCAAAGACCATTATGTCTATGTCCAAATATTAAAAACTGTCTTGCAGCCGTATCCTGAGGAAAATATGCCAATAATTTGGACATTTCAGCAGTACAGTGACCCTAATCATACCATCAAGGTGGCCAAGGAGTGGGTTCTTAATGAAAAAGTGGATGCAATGCCATGGCCTGCACAGTCCCCGGATATAAATCCGATCGAAAACTTATGGGAGACATCAAGGGCTACGTATTAAAGAAGTTTCCGACTTCTAAGATGCAGCTTTGGCAATTTGTGCAGGAGGAATGAGGCCATATTCCCCTCAAGCGTTGCTAAGACTTGGTGGACTCCATGCCACCCAGGTATGAGGCTATGATAGCTTCTAAAGGCTATTTAACAAAATATTAGATCATAGTCAATTAGAATTTAAGAAGAAATAGGTTTCTTATACGATATTTTTAAATTTATGAAGAATTTTAGTTTTTCACTGCTATTTCAATGATCGGCATAATATAGACCTTTTTTGTTGTTATTAGCTATATCTTCTAAAAGGTTTATGTTACCTAATTTAAATTATTGTGGTATTGTTAATAATTAAATACACTAAGCCCTTGTGAAAAAAAATTTTATGAAAATAGTGTTTGTAACAGTATTTTCCAATCTTAAACGTGCAGGTCGTGGGGCACTGCTATTTCAGTGAACACAGCTGTATTTCTCAACTCGCGATAACGAAGCAGAAAAAACGTCTACCAAGCCCAACCCGGCTCTACTGACCGCCGACGGCACGAGAGCGCGCTCTTGCTCACCCGCCCTACTCATTCCAGCTCCTACATCTTGGAGCTCCCAATGCCAAACCCCACCACCACCGGCTTCGATGGAAGACGCACCAACAACAAGCAGAGCTGCAATTTCAGCAAACGCAACAAAAGCAACAGCAACAACTAAACCAACGACCAATATTGCGAAATCGGTGCCAACGGCCGCAGCGCAAAATACAATGGTAACAAAAACCGTGAGCTCCGATAAGCAACAAGCGGTTCCGGCCATACAGACTGGCATGGATCGCTACATCCAAATTAAGCTTAGCCCCCATAACACGGTTGGTAACAAACCTAAGATCAACCGTGGCACCAAAAGCAACGACCCAAACAACTCCAATAGATTTTCTCCGCTAGCAACTGGTGAGAATAATGAAGCAGAGCTGGAGCAGGAGACTCAAAAACAGCCAAAGCCCCCACCTATATATATAAGGGAGAAAAGTTCAAACGCCCTGGTCAACAAAATTGTTGCGGTGGTCGGGGACGGAAACTTTCATGTTGTTCCGATTATTAAAGGGAACATCTGCGAAACCAAAGTTCAAACCAAAACAGAAGAACACTTTCGAGCTGTGTCTAATTACCTGCAGGAAGCAAAAAAGAGCTTTTACACCTATCAACTAAAAAGCAGCAAGGGACTGCAAGTAGTGCTGAAAGGAATTGAACCAGATGTCGCCCCCTCCGAGATACTAGAAGCCCTGAAAGGCAAGGGTTTCTTTGCCAAGAATGTTAGCAACATTATCAACAAAACCAAAAAGCCGCAACCTCTTTTCAAAGTCGAACTTGAGCCAGACAGTAAAGCCCTAAAGAAGAATGAAGTTCACCCGATCTACAAGTTGCAGTTCCTACTGCATCGAAGAATCACCGTGGAAGAACCTCACAAACGCAACGGTCCTGTGCAATGCACAAATTGCCAGGAGTATGGTCATACAAGGACATACTGCACCCTTCGGTCAGTCTGCGTAGTCTGTGGAGACTTCCACAACTCCGCACACTGCCCTGCGAACAAAGAAGACCCCAACACGAAAAAATGTGGAAACTGCGGAGGAAACCATACAGCTAACTACAGAGGCTGTATGGTCTACAAGGAGCTGAAGAGTCGCATGCGAAGAGCGACAGCTACACGCCAACAAAATACACAAAATGTGTATTTTAATT